ATGAGTCATTTCCTTGCTGAAACAATATTTTTACTCATCAGATTTGCTCAGGGAGTAACTATCTTGAAGACAGGAGTAGACAGGGAGTTTTTTCCCCAGAACAAATTTAGAGAGACGTTAATATCTTGTAAGACCGCTTCCCAGATGATTCACTGATAACCTGTTACAAGCGTTTGCAGAATGGAGTTTGTGTAACACCACCATAGCTAGCAAACTACATCATGACAGAGGAAAAGAAAAAGAATAGAAAATATTTATTGACATAGCATGTGCATCGTATAATATCTTAATATAACACAGGTTTGCATTTATTTTCCCAAATGAGTTGTCATTCTGTGCAGTTAGAAATACTATAAAAACACATTTTTTGAAGTTTGCTGTTGGTCTTTAGAAAGTTAAGAACATTAAAGAATCATCAAAGCTACCTCTGGAGGTTTTTAACCTAAATGCTATCTCACACTCAGAGCAAAAGGCTGGTGCAACAAGGACTCAAATGTACTTCCAAATCCTTTGACATTAGTGTGCAATTTCAAGCTTTCAATTTAACAATATTTTTTTTTTTTTTTCCCCCCTACTCATTCTTTAATCCAGGAATTTGTAGATGGGAATATCTGCAATATTCTGTGCTTTAAAATTAGAAGCAGTTGATTAAATTTCTGCAAAGATACCAAACACAAACAGAAAGTATTTGAAAAAAAATAATGGCTAGAATTTGTAGGTACCTGCAAAAAATGGAGGCAACATTTAAATGCTTGAAGTCTGAGATTTTTTGTTTGTTGTGTTTTGGGGTTTTTTGTGGTCTTTTTTTTTTTTCCAGTGGGGAACAGCCTTTAGAGGAATCCCAACAAAATGTCAGGTTCGAGACTTTCAAGTGAAAGAAACTCCCTTTACTCACTACACTCTTGGTGACCGGTGTGCTGGGAGGTTGACGTTGCCGAGCCTTTTGGCCAGGACACGGGTCTGTTTCTTCCCAAGGACCCTAAATGAGCACAAGCGACGTCGGGCAGGGACTGTAGGTCAGGGTCAGAAGCCCCTGCCTGCCAGTGGTCCCTGCCAGAACCCGAGCTCTCTCACAGCCCTTTCCTTGGTGCCGCTGGCTGGGAAGAACAGCCTCATCTTTAACAGCGAAGGGAGGTTGTTCATGTAACTGGTGATTTTTACATCTGAATTTATACTGTGGTGCCCTTATCACCTGCCTACTCTTTCTTACAACAGGTCCCTCTGTTACCTTCCAGCCACCTCATCTGCTACTTTTCACTCTTTCTTTATCCCTCGCATACCACCTCCCTCTTCCTGGTCTTCTGTACCATCTACTTCTCTTGCTCTCTCTTTCTGTATTAACTGCTCTTTGCTGCCAGGTCATCCTTCATCAGTAGAATAGGAGGAACTCCCCAGCTGCCTCTCTCCTCCACATGTAGCTGAATTATTTTTTTACTGAAGCCATATTCTGTGCTGATTCATGCCCCATACAGACTCATAAATCTGTAAAATTTGGATGATAAATTATAAACTGAGTCAAGGAGCTTCTTTAAGCAATTTTTATGGCATCGGGTACTCTGTATCTCATATAATAGAAAAAAATGTCACATAACATTGTGTTTTTCTTTTGTTAAGATAATACAGACTTAGACCGGATTTTTTCACATTGCAGATAGTCCCCTTGACTTCCATCATATGTCTCAGAGCCCCAAATTATACGCACGCACAAATGCCTTGCAGAAGCTGCTCTGGGTGTGTCAAGGGTTTGTATATGAGATTTATCTTTGGCCTGGAAAAAACTTACTTGTTAACTTTACAAATTTCCAGTAGCCCCTCTAGCAGAAAAGGGATTTGACTGAGTTTGTTTTTTCCTAAAGCCAGGAATACAGTTAAAGAAAAAGATCTACTACAGCAACTCTTAAGGAACAGCATTAGTACTGATGAAAACGAATGATGTACAGCCTGGTGCTTGAAAGATGGAAAAAACCTTTGGGGAAACATCACAATGGCTCTGGCCCCTTCTGGGCTGGGAACCCAGCCTTGGTGCTGGTGTCCTAGACAAGAGCAGATCTGATCTACTAAGAACGTCCCTTCCCCGTATATTCTCATTGGTAACTAGATACTAACTGCAGTCTTCTTAAGGAAATCTGAGATGATTACGGCTCAGAAATTCTTGTCCCATTTGCAGTGGCTGGTATCAAGAGCTCTGTGTGGGACATTGACCTCCTGGGGCTGTGTGTAAGTACTCAATTTATGAACTATGTCAGCAGTCCCTGTAGTAAGCAGTCACAGTGCCTACATAAAGCATTTCCTTCTCTATTAGGACAAGCGGCAGACTGGAACGTTGCCCGCATGCAGAAAAAACAGGAATAACATTTTGTCCATGTCTTCTTGTGCCTGCATTCCCTTGCCTGAAGGCACTGACCCCGTCAAAACGGCACATGCTCTACTAGCCCGTATAGCTGCATGTGTTTGTGCATGTGCACTCAGACACAGAGGCTTGAATATATGTATAGTTCTGATTAATTTTTATGTTGCTCTGGACAGCCTCTTTAATCTCTTAATACCACAAAATGAGGCACTGAGCAACTACTATTTATCCTCTGAGGATAAACGTTTGTTATCAGGCTGGTATGAGAACTTCAGGTCGTGGCTGAGGTATTTATAATGGATGATTATTATAACAAGACCGTTTGAAAGCTGGCATCAACCTTTTTCATTCTTACCTTGTCCCTGACTCCCAAACTAATAAAGAAATAGATTATATTTTGGCTCCTAAGGAATATGCCTAAATAAGACTCACCAAAACAAGCAATTTACTAAGCCACCTTATCTTGATCAGTTTTGGACCCAAATCAACAATGAGAATAATTGAAACAAAATCCATGGACCTAGGTTGACTTGTGTTGGATTAACGATGTGGTACCTTATTTGTCACAGTAACTATGGAAAAAGACACTTAAGAAAAACAGTACGGAGACAACTAAAGAATATTGTAGGCCCGTTGCATAGAGTGAGAGTATTAAATACTGGTCTGAGGTGATTTAAAATTACTGTCAGCGAAGCCATATGTCTTTATAGAGATGTTAGCAACAATAAAAATAATTAAACTTAAAATCTTAGACATTAATTGCTATACTTTAAAAATTATTATTAGTTTTCTGCAAACAATCACACAAAGTTTAAAAAAAAAAAAGTTAAATGTTCCCTGGAAAGGCTGACATTGAAAGAAATAGTTTCTTTTAAAGTGAGATCTCTTCCAATTAATGAAATATTGTTAGAGTTATGGTATGGAAGTAAGTCTTAAATTTTTATGCTTTGGCAATAATATGACAAAGAAAGTTGCCTGCACATTCAAAGTGTCAGGTTTAATACTTTCAATCATCTACAGAAAAGTGGGTTATTAAAGATGATCTTATTTCATCAAAAGATATTACAAGCATATGTTAAAGATACCAAAAAACAAATACTATTTAGAAATCTCGTTCTATTTTTTTCTTCTGCACAGGAAGAAAATGTATTTTGGTCAGCATAAACTTATAATCAAAACAGTTAAATGTTGTAGTGGTCAATAATCTTGAAAGTATCGAAACCCAAAGGATATGACTGGAAATACACAGCATTTCATGTTGTTAGATTAACATAGCACCATAACATTCCTGTGTGCTTCAAAATCTTGATATAAAAGTTATAGACTTGTGTAGCAATCAACAACAATTTTTAAAAAGGTGATTTGTGTTTAACGGTGTTTAAAAGTCAAGCTCACTTGGTGTTTTCATTAACTGTATGGTCCAGCAGACATATTGAACCAAATTATTTCCTAACTACTGCTGCTACCTAACAAGATGCCTGTTATAATGTACAGGATAGTTCTTCTACCGTTCAGAAGGTGGCATAATTTAGTTGGGAGAAATTTTTAGTTTAACTTTGTAGCTCATGCTGAGGTGGAGTCTAAATATTACATGATTAAAACTACACGTTTTGCAAAACCGTATCAAGCCAAACTAAAATATTGCTTTCCAACTCCCCGTCTAATACATACTACCCTACCTATGAAGCTGAACTCATATAAAAGTAATTTATAAAAACTGTAAAAATGGTTAGCATCCAAAAAAAATCTATCATTTGTGAAGCTCTAAATGATTGTCAAATAGCCACTTCTGAAGTCAGTGACTTCTCCCAGTGGTAAAGCTAAACATTTGACTAGAAACTAAACTACAGCTCTCCAAACACTAATTGGAATGCAAATGCATATGTGTAAGACTTCTATAGCTTCTCAAAGAAGATTTAAGGGCATTAAATTATGTCCTGATGTTTCTTCTCCTTCCAAACATGGAAACTTCTATGTTCTTTTTGCTGTTTTTACTGAGCAATGAAGTGAAACTTGTCTTCAAGGTCTAAACCTCAGCTACAGAAATTTGGGATTTCCATGGAAGTGTTCCTGCAGCAACCAGAGGAGGAAGTTTTCCAAACTAACAAGCATGAACTAGACTGCTGCTTCTCAACATGGAGCTGCAGTCTTTAGAGAATGCCAAAATAATGTCTTGGTCTCATGTAGTTCGCAGTTCTCTGGATCATTCTGCACATACATTAATGTGCTGTATGTACAACTTGCATTTGAAGAATTGGAATAGAGCCCTGAGAAAAGCAAATCCGTTGGAAAAATAGATATCGTTTAATAATACCAGTTTGAAACGCTTCGATCCTTCCCTTGGAAAAAAAAAAAATTACAAACAGGTGTAGTCTTTTTTTTTTTCTGATGTGAATGGTTTGAATTTATCAGAATTGCAAACATAAATATAGTTTGGGGTTTTAAGTGCATATCTAGGGTTGATTACAATTAGAAAAATTTTGTGTGACAATTCTACCCACCCCCCAGCAATTCAGCGTTCCTCCATAACATTACTTGTGAGCTTTGAGTTCAAAACAATCCTCCCGTGGAGTGATGTTCTTCCAGTAACTAACTGCTGCAGCAGACTTCATGGTAATACGGGTGCTAAGTGGTTCAAGTTCAGTTCTCTTCAGCCTTGTGTGCAATTCTCATCATTCCCGTGTATCCAGAAGCAAATCTGGGCATATTTGAGAGGAGTAATTCTTACTGCTACATTGTAATCCTGCTGTTCACCATTGACATCCACCCACTGATGGCCTGAGTAAACGGCGATGATCTTGCGTTTCCACTTCTTTTTGTTCGGCTCCTTCAGGCGTAGATAGACGCCGGATCCAGTGGAGCCGGGCTCAGCATCACAGTACTGATAAAAGAGATCATTGGACTCATCAGAAATGCTACAAAACCTGTAGACCAGCTGCCCAGATCGATCATTATCAAAACCTGAGAAGTGGATCATGCTCCCAGGCATCATTTTGATTGTTGGGCTGATTCCCAGCTCCATGTATTTCCTTTTGTGGGGACGCTTGAGCTCAAGAACAGCATAATCATAATCCAGGGCGATATCCCCAGAGACACCCTTAAACCAGCCTTTCGGGATGTGAGTACTCTTCACCCTTGTCCACTGGAAGGAGGGCATGCCATCTGAGGTCCCCTGCTTCCTCCCAGACCTCCTCTGCTTTCTCCCACTGCCTTTGGATTGTCGCCTTAGTTCTGTGGCAACTTCGGGATCCTCTTGGGTGACAGAAACTTCTCTCCTACTTCTTTTAGCACCTTTGCGTTTCCTGCCATCGCCTCTGGATTTCGTCTTCATCAGGCCCACCCTCAGTCTTTTGCTGCCCTTAACGTAATCCTTGCCATTGTGCAGACAGTGGGCAGCTGTTAGCACGTGCTTGGGGGAAATAAGAATGCCACTACAGCCAGTGGAGATCTTCACAGCTGTGTTGAATGGAAAGTTGGTCATAAACCGCTTGTCATAGATGCTGAACCTACTGTCCGTTCCATATATCTGCCTCTTCTTTCTCAAAGACCTTCGTGTGGTTGTGTTTCCAGCTGGGTCAAGCACTAGACCGAGGACATTCACTTCAGTCAGGGTCCGTGTGCCATTTTCAAAAACGGTCTCATAGGATAAGAGGTCCTTCAAGTCAGACAAGCTTGGCACTGGCAATTCTCTTTGACATTCAATTCCACATACACTGTTCAGCTCTAATTTGGTTTTTGCTTCAAATTTAGGGCTGTCGAGGGAGAACGTTCTTTCACTCACAATCTGGGGAATCTTCTTTAAGTGCCAAGTAAAATCTTGTTCAGTTTCTGTTCCATTAGTGAGACCCAATATAGGTACGAAAAATATGAATAGCAGTAACATGTGCTCCATTTTATCTATTTTTTTCTAAAACAAAAAAGAGAGATTTGAAAATAAGCGTTGGAAATACACACAGTTATCTTAGTATCTTCAAAGAATAATCACACAATATTAGTACTGACATCAGCCAAACAGAATCTAACACTTTACTCAAAATAGAAATGCCTCAGCTATTCCCTTATTGCCTCTGACCCTTCCAATGGTCTCTAGCAAGATGGGTGCAGACGAGTCAGAGAGCATCCATGTTGAGCTACCTACTGGAAGGTGGAAACAGCTGACTTTTACCTACTTTCCCGCAGTGGAGCAGTAGTCTGAGTCATTCCACTCTCTACAGTGTCCTGGTTTTATTTATCCCCTAGGAATGTAATTGTGTTTTAAGCTTCTGCTTCTCTATAGCTACTGGTTGTAGGTAGAACATGGTTGAAAAGCACCACTGTATTCAGTAGTCACATTCAAAAGTTGGGATCCAGGCAGAGATGGGCAGACAGACTACCCTCGTGAGACTTAGGAACCCTTAGGAAACCAGACCAATTGTGCTCTTCCACACAAAGTAGCCAGAAAGTAGCAGCTTTACAGGACCTAAAAGTCAACAACAGTTCTGCATTACCCACCCAGCTAAGACCTGTGAATCTGCCTGCTACAGAAAAAGGCACTTTGCTAATTGCTCTCCCAAAGAAACAACTTAGAAAGATCTCCTTTCTGTTTTCAAAGTTATGTTGTCTGGATGTGACAGATTGAGCAATCTGGGCACCTCAACAAGGTGGCAAGTCCGATTTTAAATGCTTTCAGCTTCTGCTGCTCTGAAAGGCATGGATCTCCTGCAGATCCTGAGTTGTATCTCCCTGTGTGCCGTGGCCACCACAACCTCATTCATTTCCTATGCGTGAGTGTCTGAATCTCTCTCAGGATGTCAGAGAATTTCAAAATCCACGGTTGGAGGGGACAGATGAGAGAGGAAAGTAGAAGGCTGCTGGTCTAGAGGAGTTTCCTGGTTATATACACGCAGGAAAGCCCAGCCAAGTAGGAGGGACAAGTCTGCTGACTCATCATATGCTTTTTTCCCCGCAGAATCCCACAAAGGCTGCAGGAACTGCTCTCTCTGTGCCTTATGGTCACATGTGGAAAGCCCCACCTAGATGGGGTGATGCACCACACAAAGAGCTAATACTTTAAATGGGAAAGGCAAAACCCAGTGTTATTCCCATCTGTAGTTGGGAAACAGAAAGAATGTAAAATCGTTAGAAGTCTGTGGCAGAGCCAGAAACTGAACCCAGAAGTCTTGATTCTGAGCTCAAAACGTTACTGAAAAGACTGTTTTCCTCCTTTGGCAGCAGTGATGTCAGTGGCATTAACCAACTACTGGCCGCTGCTATTGGGAAAGCTGCACTCCATTCTCCTATCCTTCATTCCAGTTACATGGAAACCTCAGCTGTGCAGGAAGAAAGGGCCTGTGATTAAACTTTAAAAGCCAAGCAATTCAAGGATATGCATGTGGTTAAGCTCTCTGGTTTACATCGTAATGGCAAACATAACCGCTTTCCTTTTCTTGAGCTTAGTTTAGAATGAGTACTGCTACCCAGTGAAACAGCCTGGTTACAGGCTAACTAAAGACCTAGCATGCAAAAAGAGGAGTATGTGTGCAACCTGGAAAAAGAAGTGGTAACATCACTTTAAAAGCTGTATAATGGATCAACAACTCCTATGATTTTGAGGCATCTTCACCATATAGAAGTAGTTCTTGTCTATAAGAGGCAACAATTACCACTTTTTAGCTAACTAAGCACTATGATTTAAACACAGCTTGTTACTTCTGATGCCAATACAGAGGGTGGTTTTGTTTTAGCATAATTTTTTATGCTTTTCACCTTCGCCTGCATGGAACACCAACTTTGACCCAGAGTTTACTTCCTAGCATATACATGAAACACATTTTACAATACAGTATAAAAATACCCACCCTGGCTTTAAAGTAGCTAACTCAGGTTTTGGAGAAGATGTGTGGACTTTCGTAAGACATCTGGAGGTTATAGTGACTCACAGGCCTAAGCTCTGGGATGTATGTGGTCATTCTAAAAGATACCTGAAGGTTTTGAAAGCAGAGCAGAGTCCCCCCAGGTGCAAGATTTTGCAGAAAGTCACCAGTTGACCATATACCAGTCTAAGTTATTGGTATAGCAGAAATGCATGTATTTAAATATTAACTTTTATATACAAAGTTACCTTCAAAGTATTGTTTTCGTTAATGCTCAATTAATACTAAATTTGAAGAGGAATGATAATGTTACATATTCATGGATAAATGATAAGGTGTCAAAATAAAGACATACTGTGATGAGAACATAAGAGTAGCTTTCCTGGCCTGACCAAAGGTCCACTTCATCTAAAATCCTGTTTCTGACACTGGCCAAATGCGAGTGCCTAGGGTAGAGCACAAGAATAGGGCAACCATGTATGCCCCTTCTTCCTCATAGTCTCTTAGCTTACAACCAGTTGCACCTCATGGACTTGAAACCAGAGGTAGTTTCTGTAGCGTGAGGAAACCTCAGTGGATTTCTCTTCCATAGTTGCTCAGTCTTCCCTTGAACCCATATAAAGTTTTGTATCCACAATGTTCTGCATCAAGGAGTTACACAGCTTAACTACATGTTGCATGAAGAAGCATCTCCTTCTTCTTTTTTTTCAGCCTGTCACAAACTAGCATGGTTTGATGATAAATAATGTGATTTTAGTACGGAAAAGCTGGTTTTAATTTGCTTTTCCCTAATATAGCTGTTGAACACATATAAGTTATTAAGAAACCCAGTTCTTCCATCGGGCTCAAGACTGCCTTTCCTATGTTCTTTCCTAAAATACACCTCCCTTTCTCAGTCCTTCCTCAGGGCCTGGGTATTTGATATTTATCTGAATATAGCTGAATTTTGTGAGCCCTAAGGAAAGATCATTCACTAACTGCTAGTTCATATAGAAAGCTTAGAGCGCCTAAGGTTGATGTCATTCCACTGCGATGGCTGAAGTCTTCCCAGCTGGACCCATAACTAACTTTGCTTTATAGAGAGACTTTCTGCAAGCACATGGGTGGAGTACTATGGCTCCCTTCTGCCACTCTTCAAAAAGAAAAAAATCCCAAACACACAACCCTCAATAGATGCATTGGAGCCTCTCATTTAAAATACTAAACTCCAGTGCTCACTACTTACAAAGGCAGTCTTGGAAGCCAAAATTTTCATCATTCATAATGAACCACTTGTTGCTTGTAATGAACTAACTACACTTCAATAGAACTGGAAGAAGTCCAAGATGAGGAACTTGATGAAAATGGTAGCTCTCATTACAGACCAGAGCAGTGGGGTCCTACTAGGCAGCATTGTCATTTACACCCATGCACTTACGCTCTGTTTACTAACGTGATCTCTACCATTTAAGCAAGGCCAACTTCAAGCATGGGCAATTTCCACAGCTGCCATGGCCCAGTACATGTTGCCAGCAAGACAGGAACACAGAGGTTCCTTTTGCCAGATGATGGGGATAGAAATGTGTAGAAGGCTGGAAAGACACCTTTGCAGGGTGAGAGAAGAGGAGAGACAATACAGCCTCCAGAGGAAGGAGGAAAGGCCCTGAGAAGGTCACAAGCTGGACGCAAGAAAAAACCCTCAACATCTTACTCACACGTTCTGCCACGCTGTTCTCCGGTCTTCCTCCAAACCCCAAGCTGCTCTGCCCTTTCCTTTCCTTTTCTCCTTTCCCATACAAATTTTGTGTTTGCTTACAGTAATTAGAAGCCTTGAGTCAGCTCTGTCTTTACAGTAGGATGAATTGCCTCAGAGAAGACAGAAGAGGACAGAAACTAGAAAGTGAAAGAGATCCCCAGTTCCATGAAAATGTTGAAATTCTTCCTTCAGTTTCCAAACCCAGCTGAATATGGTGAGGACTCCCTGTTTGGTGGCATTCCAGCTGCCAGGTGTACATATACAATTAAAAGTATTTTCAGTTCTTTTCACTTCTTGCTTCCAACATCAAATCTTTCTTCATTCACGGGACAAAACCTACCCATGTCCTAACTTTTCAGGATATCCTTCAAATATTTTGTCGGTACAACCTTCCTTATTCCAGCAGAATGCATCTCATATGCTCAGGGGTCGGCTTGTAGTCAAGCAGAGCTAGAATATCTTTCTCTTCAGGCTACCCCAGAGTGCATTTACATGTCAGTATAGCTCAGACAGCGAAAAGTTGTATCCAGATACCTGGCAGCATTTTATCTCGGTCTGTTCGGTGCAGCCTCTGTTCTAGGGTTTCCTTCTTACTGTAGGAAAGTGGGCACATTTCAAACTAAGCTTACATAATTTTAAATGCAATTTTCAGACCATAAAATATTAGAGGCTGCTACACTAACCAGCTCCTTTAACTGCTTTTGGCCTTACTCTTGAAGTGGCCTGAAAGTTGGAATTCACAGTTCTACTCTGACAAAGCAAAACAGAGAACACATTTTGGAAATATCACACTCCCTGAAAGAAACCATTCCCCGAACCTTATCCGCCACTGCCCCCTTCACTCCTCTGGGTGTGCTCACTCTCTCTTTATATATGTATATATCTTGGTGCACAGATTTTGTCCTCCACTCTGACTTATGGAGAAAACCCCACCGCTGCTCCTGGCTCTTACAAAATTCAGGCGGCTTCAGTAGGCGGAAAGAAGAGCTAATTTTTACACGGCAGGCGTGACAGGCCATTTCTGAAATCACACGCGCGGGGCGGCGGGGGGG